TATTTCAACAATATAGGATTTGGGTTAACGATTTTTAACGTGTCCTGCCGTGTTTACATTCGGCAGAAATTGGCTCAAGCTATTCCTCGGAACACATCTATGTAAGTAGGTCATCTGAAAACGTGAAACCGAATAACAGGAAACACATCTAGGTAAGTGTCCAAATGAAATTCCAGCTCGATAAAACCGGCGGAACCCCACAAAATCAACGCCACTCCATTGTTTCAGATGCCGATCCCAATATCACCCTTCCCCAAGACATCGAAAGACCCCGGACACTCAACCCGACAGGCCTTTTTGAACCCGGACTAGAACACCACCATCCACAGACCACCCTTAATCGACCCCGACAAATAGCGGGAATTTACATGTCCTGTCTGCAGACCTTTCTTTTTATTTATATGCTATCCATTTAATTTTTCTGTATCTCGCTTTTAAATACTAAATTAGTTTAAAAATTATGTTTGTTTGCTTTAAAAACGAAAAACATTTTTAAAATGAATAAATTTATTTTTGTTCACTTTGACAACAAAAATTTTCACGTTTATTTTAAGCTCGAAAATTTTTAAAATAAACGTAACATTATTTTTATTTTAAACGTCGATTGTATTGACTTCAAAAATAAATTACGTTTGAAATAAGGCTTTTTTATTTTTGTGGCCAGAACAAACTGAGTTTACGTTTAAATTTACCTCAAATATTGATGTTTTGACGATAGATTTTTCTGCGTGTACTTATCGACATATCAACTCATGAACCGGGAACCTACCTCGGAACCTACGGCTTTACTTCCCTTCCGAAGGATGGCGAGATCAGTGATTTTATGCCTCAGATAGCCCTGAAATTCTGTTGCAAAAAGAAAACAAAACATAAAAAAATCGCCTTATTATAATTGAATCAATAAAAATATTTTTATTTCGACTGCGTGAATTGTCATACTTCATAAAATAAATATGATTGAATCAACAATAAATCTCTTTTAAAAACAAACATATTTTGTTGTTGACCGAGCTGCGAAAGTTGACAGCTTATGTCATAACCATGAAAGCTCTTGTAAATTCGAAAAGATTTTCTTTTTGATTTAACAATCCACGGGTTTTAAGCAACTCCCCGGCAAGGTGACAGATAATCTTAGTTTCACGTACCCACTTGCAAATAGTAGATGTCGCCACACAACGTAAACAAAGGGGCTGCCCTTCACCGCCGCAATGGTATTTCCTCGGGTATTTCTCTACACGCTAACTTGAATGTACCCATTAAATGCGTAAATTTGACTCATTTTATGCTATTATTCCAAACTGTCAAAAAATGGGTATTTTCAAAAAATGAAAAGCGGGTAATTTTTAATCATTTTAAAATTATCTTCTTGCAATAAAAATGGGTAAAAAAGGGTTTGGTGAAATGGAAGAGCAAAGTGTTTTGAAAGTTAACGGATTTCGCGTGTGCTATGTCCTGCAAATTGATCGGAATTCGAGCGATAAATACCGCGTTTCAAAAAAACATGCGGCGGAGGCAACAGATTCTTTCCGGCCGGTGTTGATTCTGGTGAAAAGGGTGATCGGGTAGTTCCATTATTTCCATAAGAGTCAAACCGCAAACCTAAGTGTTGGGGAAGATCCGAGAGAAGATCAGCACGGCATTTCTGTGTGCTTTCAAGACCCGATTGCTACGAAGAATGTAATTATGATTAAATTTAGGTATGTATTCTAAAAACCGACGGTCCCGTTTCAGGTTAGCAGATTAATAGCGGGTTCGGAGAATAAAACGATGGTTATATGCCCAGGAATCCAAATCCGATTGTACATTTGGAACGAATAGAGGCAACTTCTTTACCCTACAAAAATTACAAAAATGTCTACAACTTACTGCAACACTCGCATATTCCAGTACATCGGTTAATTCTAGTGTTTATGATTACCTATGTGATTATGTTTAATAAAGACTATGAAGTGTTTTAATGATTTTAGCTATTACAAATGTTCAAATTCCTTATATTTCTCAGTGCTTATATTTGATGGCAGCCAGCCCAATGAAGCAAATAAAAAAACAATCAATAAAACGGTTACTTTTTACTCATTTACAGAAAAAACAAGATGATTAAAAACTACCCATTTTATGAAGTATTATTCGAATACTCATTAATGAGTAAAGTCGCTTTTACTCATTTCATGAGTTAAGCCACTTTTCTTCAAAATGAGTCAAATTTTACTCATTAATGGGTACTTTAGAGTTAGCGTGTATGGGAAGGCAACTTTTTGTTTCACCATGTGTGGATGTCAAGCAACAAGCAAGAATGCCATGTGAAAAGAGCGATTTATGATTTTCGTGGTGAAATGAAATAAATCCAAACAAATTGGAACAGATTGATGGAAGTTTTTCTTATATAATCAAATAGAAATAAAAACACATTGGTTAATTCTATTATATTTTGCTCTTGAATATTATCAGTCTTGAGAATAATGTTTCTGAGCATACTTGTGCGGTGAAGACTTGCAATAAAAAAGCCGTATTATTAAAAACAGTTTACTTCCCCATCTTTCTATTGAGGGGTGAAAAAAATACAAAATTGATTCTTATTCGCGGTGAGTAGCAGGTTTGCTGTGTGAACACTAACATTTCGTATATTCATTCAAACATGAAGAAATAAATAAAATAAATTAAAATAAGCGTCTCTCAACAAAAGATATTCATAATGAGCTTCTAAAACGAATAAATTTCAGTGATTGTCTTTTGTTACACCCGTCCGTTTAATTAACATTGTTCCCCACCAACTGGAAGTTTCAAGAAACAGATGAGGCTATCTGTTTTTATGTTCAGTATTTTATTTACTTTATTTACATATCTGCATTCGCCCTATTCAGATAACACTTCTGAAATTTGTGAGTTTGACAGAACCACCAGCACCAAATTTTCGGAGTACACTGGAAATGTACTGGACTTGTCAAATTGCCCCCGGGTGGGTTTTAAGGAACAACAATGGGCCGTATGAATAAAAATAGTTTACTTTACTTTCCCGTGCTTTTCTTACGGGAAAAGTAAAGTAAACGCTTTTATTCATACGACCTAATACTGGATTGTTGAAACAATAATAATTTCTTAATTATTTTTTCCTGCGTGTAGATCACTGGCTGCTGGTAGCGCCGTCGCCTCCATAGCTTAAGCGATTTTAATCAACCTCATTGCCTGAGTGATACAAACAACGCATTTTATCGTCGGTTTGACGTAACCGATAGCTCTCCCACGCATGCTAACACCGCTGTATCGTATTAGCTTTCATATATCAGCTTGTAGGTATTATTCATCTTTGGTATTACATTGATCGATATTTATTTTTTTTTTTATTATTATAGTCACTTTAACACTCTTGGGTCATTCGTGACTTGTTCGGGGGTGAGATTTGAACTCGTGACTTTGGCGTGAGAGGTATGGATGTTAACGGCGCCGGTGGTGTAGTGGTAAGCGTGATTACCTCTCACCCCAGCAGGCCTGGGTTCAATACCAGTCGGCGCCGCCGGGATGTTCTGAGGCATAACATCTCTGATCACGCCTTCCTTCGGATGGGAAGTAAAGCCGTTGGTCCCCGGTTCATGAGTTGATGGGTCGATAGGTAGGGTCCAGGTGTGGGAGCTGCCTTCCTGGCACGTCGGTAGCATTGGTGCTCAGCACGGAAAACAAGATCGACGGAAAAAACAAACCAAAGGATTTGGATGTTAACCACTACGCCCGCCGAGGTCGCCCCCAACACGGTAACCAGCGTAAACACATTAATGTGTAAAATTTCACACGTTTCGTGAAAAAAGGGGTCTACAAATAAAATATGTTAACTGTGTTTACCTCGGCGTTTACACATTTATGTGTAAACCCATCAAACGTCAATAGAAGTGTATTTTTTACACATTTTTTAAGAACAGTTTTTACTGCAAAATGTGTAAAAAGTAATCATTCAAAGAAATTAAATATGATAAGGACGAATGGTTTTTTTTTATTAATATCGGAGTTTTCTCATTTGTGTCAATGATAAAATAAAGATTGATCGGATTAAATAATATTTTATTAAAAAAAATCACGCCAGGCACCGGACAATGAAAACTTTAATATTGATTATTTTTCTAGGGCTTAGCTATGAAAATAATATAAATCACTTACCCTCTAGCTTGTACACCGTTGCTCTGTTACAGTTTGGACCGAGGTTTGGAGCGTAGTTTCTCCATTTTTCTGTTAAATTTGTGAAAGTTTTTCGCTTAAGCAAATGGCGTCCATCAACGAAGCAGAAGTTTTTTTTTACCCATTAATGAGTATAAAAATACACATTTTTTGACTGGTACTACATTCTTAAAATGTGTAATTTTTAAACATTTTAAGATCTCCAAATTTACACATTTACACTCGCTCATGTGAGCATGCGCAATGTGCAGTGTGCAGTGTTGCCACATTTGGTCAAGTTTCAATCTTTGTTTTCATAGCAAAAAATCTTTTTAATCTGTATCTGGCTGACAAAAATCTGTATAATTTCTTAAAAGTTTTGAGTTATTAACGTTCAAAATCTTTCTTAATTTCGACAGTGAGCATGCATAAGGGCGAATACGCGATGATCGATTCTCTTCATCGATTTTCTCTTTGCATTGCAACAGCTAAGCGAAACAATTTTCTAGAATTTGTTCAATGCGGAGTAGTAACAGGTTGTATTGGCTATCAAAACCAACAGCAAACGCACCGAGAAACGTTAAATCTAGCGAGTTATTAACAAAAGAGAAAATCGACGAAGAGAATCGATCATCGCGTATAGGCCCTTATGCATGCTCACTGTCGATTTGTTACATGTTCCATTTTCGGTTTTCACAAAGTGTACCCCCATATAGAAATCAAAGACGTAGTCCTACGTCAAAATAGTGTTCTGATCAATGAATAATGTTTGTTGAATCTCAACCAAATGTTTAGATTTTGGCTTTCATAAAAAAATTAAACCGAACATATCAATTATTTCAAAAACTCCAGTTTATTCAACTCTATACCTTCTATCGGTATACCATTCGTGACATCAAACAATTCAAAAATTCAACAATAATTAAAGGAAAAAAATCCTACTTGCTAGGCACTCTCACAACCCTAACTACTCTTGCTCCGTCTTAATCCGCTTTGGTGAGAACTTTTCTTCGGTATCCGATTCCTCTTCCGTTACCTGTCCGTCCGAATCGGACGAATACTGGTTCCAAATGTTCTCATCGCTGAACAGGTAATTTGCCGGCTCAACGTTGGCCGCCTCCCTCTTCTTCTTGCGATCTTCGCGCTTCTTCGCGATTTCCAGCCTGTCAATTCCGTCCAGCACCTTCGATTCCTTGTCCCTCTGGTCCGAGGTTTCCTGCTGGACGTGTGTTCTGTTCCACCCGAACTGATTGTCCAGATACTTTTGATACAGTCTCGTTTCTGCTTCAACATCTTCGTCAGATTCAATCACATCGAAACCATCGGATGCTTCCTTGAAAATAATGTAAACTACAGGGTACTCCACGATGGTCTTACCCTTCAAATTTTCCTTGAGTGATTTCTTCGGTTTCAGTTCGAAGAACCGATTCTTGCAACGTTTCACACCTTCCGCTTTCAACAGCACTCGGACCCGGCTCAATCCACGGGACTGGTAAAACTCGAGCTTGTTCTTTCCGGTAAAGTCCTCTCCATTCCCCGCTTCCAAGTACTTGCTCAACAAATCAAACAAGGATTGGTTTTCATCGCATCGCTCATCCACGAACATCAGTCCTTCCGCATTCGGAAAGCACCACTCTACGCGCCAGTGAATGACCGAGGTTTTGAAATTCAGCTGGCTCGTATTTTTCTGGTGCTTCGTAAAATTTTGCAACAGAAATTTTAACGTCGTCCCGCGCTCCCGCGCTGCGCATCTCAATCGGAACAACGACGGCGGTAGGCTTTTGTTGTATCGCGTGTATCGTTTGATTTTGTCCCGCTTCCGGTCATCCACAAACCGGGTGCATTCCTCCAGGAAGTAGTAATCGCTCATCATCTCCATCTTTGTCATCTTCTTCAAGGGAATGTACTTGGTCCTGTCCCGAATGCCATCGCAGTTCAATTCCTTCTTGTGGATGTTGACGCATTTCAAGCAGCAGGATTTGACTTCACACTTCGGACAGGTGTACTTTGCCAAAATCGCATTACAAATTTCGCACAGTCCAAGCCTGGGACGTTAAACGAAGTAATGTTATACAAAAGAAACAATAGACAATTATAAACGATATGAACAAAGGAAAGTCGTTACTAACTTGGGCGGCGATTGAAGCATCTCCATATTGTCCTCACTTTCGCTGGTTGTTGCTGCCATAATTGTGTACTGTTAACGAAATTTTGAAAGAATTCCTAATTTCTGAATTCAAGTATTTTTTTATAAACTATGAAACATTTTGATCAAGGAGACCAACGCACGTGTGTTTTATTTACGGATCTGATCACTGATTGGAGTTTGGTTGCGACCAGTATATAATAAAGTATAGATCTTGACCAACAATTGAAAAGAGCCTAACAACTTTTGTCAACAAAACTTTGCAAGCCTTTTCCTCGCAAACAAAAGACCGTCCACGCAAATGAATGAAATCATCGTTTCCCGATGATGCTGGTGTTTGCGTGGGCGATGTGAGTGACCTACGTTTTCCGAGTTCACAACATTTTGCTTTCAATAGTTGAAAGGCCTTTTTCAACTGTTGGTCTAGATAAATGGGAAAACAAACTATGACATTTTGTTTGCTCACCGCTTTTATACCAGCTGCATAGCATTGGGCGTACCCAAAGCGTACCGTCAAACTCATCAGAGGCGTGTGAAATGCGATGTCAATTATACAAGGTCTGGCCCAACCGGCTAATTGGTATTAGTTAAATGTGGAAATGTTTAGTGGTGTTCGTATTTCATCGCAATGTTTATCTTTTTACACGAAACAGCTGTTTTCTGTGACGACACGTCTGCCATTCGCAGTATGGAATGTTGTGCTGCCGTGACATCGTCATTCGCTTGTTCAGCAATGTTTACAACATTTTTGCTTCTAACATCAGCAAGCTGCCTGTTGTTCCAGACCTTGTATGATTGACATAGTGTGAAATGTGCATGCATTGACTTCTCGACGTAAGATCTCACTAACACAATCTTGCTAGTATATTCGTGTAAAATCGATTTGTTTATTATTTTCAACCACGAAATCAGCTGTCAAAGTGTTCGACTTGACAGCGGTTTGTTTTTTATTTTCAACCAGTAAAACGCATGTATTAGTGAAACTGCTCACTAATACTAACGGTGGTAGAGAACTCTATGGGGTGGGACGTGCTGTCAAATCAGCCTACTGATCATTCAGTGCCAACATTTCAAAGGGGCGTAATTGCATTTGTAAACAATGGCTTTAGCCGTCGATTTCTCGCGAATAAAAGCTCACTCATGAAAAATAATGACCTCAATAGGTAGAGGAATGTTTCCCTTTACCATCTAGCATTGTTATTTTGAAGGTGAGCTTTAAGATGCGAGAAATCGATAGCTAAAGCCATTGTTTACAAAAGCAATTACGCCCCTTTGAAATGTTGGCACTGCATTCTTGTATGAAATTGGTTCCAAACGTAAACAAACCCTGTAGGTTTCTTATGGCTTGTTTACGTTTAGAACCAGTTATGCAGGGTAGGCGACGATTGTGCGTATTTGACAGCCACCTCCCCCCCCTTGTGTGAAACACGCCAACTTACCCCTAATAAAAATAACCATAAAAGAGAGCTTGCTTATACCCCGGACAGACTATGGCTTATATCATGTAATATAGGCTGTCTTGCAATGAGCACTCATACATAGGATTTCCAGTGAAAACTAGATGTATGAGTGCTCATTGCAAGACAGCCTATATTACATGATATAAGCCATAGTCTGTACAGGGTATTAGAGCAACCGTAACGGTACGCTGCTAAACTCATTATAGCAGCCCTCATCATAGCGCAGCTACCGTATCGGGGGTTGCCATACGAGTAACTAAAATAGCAGTCGGCTTCTCGATGAGAAGCGCGTTACCAAATTTAGCAGCGTGGAAGAAAGGTTGCTATTAGTAGAAATGTCAAAATGCTCACTACCGGTACGGACTACGGCGAGTAAATTGATAACCGCGATAGCAGCGACCGGTGTGGAGAAGAGTGACTAAAATAAAATGAGAGCGCTGTGCGCTGTTAAAATAGTCGCGCAAAAGACAACGACCGTTAAGGCCCAAACGCAATGAGGACGGAAACGGAACGGAAATGGAAAGTTTGATAGTTGTCACAAAAGACATCAAAATGCTGAACCGAAGTCGATTTGGTTCTAACTAGTTTTCAATCCGACAAGTAGGCTTACTCAGATCGGGCTTTTCCACTGCCGCTGCCGTTCCGCTTCCGCTGTCATTGTGCTTGGGCCTTTACGGTTGCTCTTAACGATGTGTTCGGGTAATCATCCAAAACATTTGTGGGATAGTTTACCCATCCGGGATACAGTTCGTTTATGGTATTTGTTTATTAGGGACAGAATCGAATAAAACCTCTCGAAATTATGTGAAGCTCTTGAAACGTGAAACAACGAGAAAAACAACGCTTTAGCATCCCAATAAGCAAATACCATAAACGAAAGATAGCCCGGATGTTATGACTTTCCTACAAATGGTTTAGATGATACTCCTAACATGTCATGATGCTAATTCTTAAGAGCCACCCAGATTAAATTTGACAGTTAAACAATAGATTTAAACGCTGTCCAGACTGGAGAATTATAACAACAATCAATACGAAACTAACGATTTTAAATTGGCTCACTACTTGACTAGCCTATTGGTCCCAAGCAAATCGATTAACTTACCCCATGCTAGTATAAATTCCAGTACACTCATAAAATAAATCACGTATCCAGTGGAAAATATCCATGTGAAGATCACATAACTTTCATGTGATCCCATAATTGGAAATTGCACCACTAAATCACATGAACGTTATGTGTCCAAAGAATTTCTAACGCTATGTGATATTCAGGTAAAAATCATTGTTTTTGTTTTTGGAAAAATCTCGGGAAAAACACTATGTGCGTTTCTAATAGAAACTAAGTGAAAACTTTTTTCAGTGTACTACACTATGTTTGTTTTGATTCGCTATCACAGAAAAACAAAACTACCCACCGCTTGGGTTTTTTAAACTCAAATTTGAGTTATTTGACCTCAGCCCGTTTCATTTTCTCTCGCTATTGTTGTCAAAAATAGAACGAAAGATTCGACTCAACCGTCTAGTTCCGTACGAGAAGCCAAAATTGAGTAATATGCGATATACCCAAATTTGAGTTAATTGAACTTAATTTTGGGTAGAAAAAATTGAAAATTACTTAGCGATGGGTAATTTTTTTTTGCAGTGCTTAAATGCAAACTACTTTGAGTCGGTTTACCCAAATTTGGCTTATTGTACGGAACATGGGAGATGAGTGAAAAGAACTTAATTTTGGGTTGTTTTGAATTTCTGTGCAGAGGTGGCAACAGTACATTTTTTGAAAAACCATCGTCCAGAGCGAAACAAAACAGCCAGCACACGGGCGACCGTGTATAACTACATTCCAAGCGAACAGCGGAGATAGAGAATAAATAAAATCTCGCAGCCTGATTTTTCCAAACAGTTTATTGTAATGAAATTTTAGCTGCAGGCTTGCGTGTGACAGTAAATTACCAACTCCCTTATTTACGCATAATTTTAACATCAATGCTTATGAGTGGTTAGTCTTCATTCTTATCTTTTAATTCCATGCAATAAACATCAAATAAATGCAGTAATTAGCCAGAAATCAGCAAAATTCTACACGACATAAATTTATGTCGCGCGCGCCGCCGGTCTTGTCTGCTTCTTTGTGCGAAAATGTTCTGTCGCTGGCAGAAAACAGTTTAGAAATGTCATGACATTTTTTCCGCTTGCCAGTTTGTTTTTGTGTGTCGTCACAATGGTTATTGCAAAATGTATCAAATGTTATGAAAAAAATGTTAAACTCCAGGACTCGTGCCACCACTGTTTCTGTGTATAGCATGGACGAGTGAGTGCCCAATACTATGCAACTAGTATAAAAAGTAACTGTTGTTACTGTCATTTTGAATTCTTATTGGAATTCCTTTATGTATTAATCACGTGGCTGATGAAGCTGTCATGTTTAAATATATTGGTTGTGGATTGTTATGTACTGAGCTACGCATTTTTGTTTACAAAATATTTTGCTCATCGGCATTAAATGTATGCTGATAAAGGCTTTCAAATGTCTAGAAGTGTTTGCGATAATGTTAAGCTGATAAGAAGTGTTACAAAGTGAAGAAAACAGTGAACAAGCGTGCATTGATGGGTGACGTGTGTTTTTTCCGGCTACTTCAGAATGACTAGCAAGGGTACCAGTTATTGCTCGCGTCGTGTGATAGAGTGCATTTTTGCGATTTCTATAACTGCTCGTGTGCGCGAATGAAAATTCTTTCAATCACAAATCCTGTCCAATGCCATTGCGTCACACTATCACTAATAGGTTTTGTTTAAAGTATAATAACACTCCATGTTGAGTCTGGCATTAAAAAACTAGGCTTGTATTTGTGCCGTATCTTGAACATCTCTGGCCGTTCAATTATATGCACAACAGTAGTGGAAACACGCGATATAATGCTACTACGAGCCCGTCAATTGGCGCTAATAGCGTCCACTCTACGCAGTAGTGGCAAAATAGTACTGGAAACATCAACACGTGCTTCGTCCACGAGCGCTGTGGTGTCCAGTCCAGCAAAACCGTCCTCCAAAATGTTGAGCCATCATCCGATAGGTAGCAAGGAGCAGCTGGTGATACAGCAAGTGCAGCCAGTGGTTGAAAATTATGAGGTAAGTCTGCTAGTGAACTGTTTAATTCGAGATCATTAATCCTGAACGCAATCATCTTATCTCGTAGAATGCAGTGCAAGCTTTGAATTCGCTACAGTCCAATTACAGTGTGTTACAGAGTTCGACAAGTAGAGTGCATTCGGGTGATTCGATTCACATACAGGAGACGGTAAAGTTTTTGCAGAGAATCGGAATTTCGTTAGAAACACTCGATCAACTTCCGGTCATTCACGTTTCCGGAACGAAAGGGAAGGTAAGCATAATTTGTTGGTTGTTTTTTATGGTTTCCATTTAAATCATCGTTTACGATGCGGGCGGATCGAATTTCACGTATGTAGGGTAAGGTGGGGCAAGATAGGTGAGGTAGTACATTTATTAGTTTATTTGTTGGACAAAATCTACAGGTTTAATGCATGTCTAATGATGATTTGCTTTTTCAAACCAGCATTGGGGCTACATTGAGGCTGTTGATGTTGACAATAAAAAAAAATCTAGTAGATGTACCCATCTGGCTCCGTGACCCATCTTGTCCCTTCTTACACTTTTAATAGTGCTTCTTACTATACCAATACGATGTCAAGTTTGAACATACAGAGGTAAGAGACATGTGTGTGTCTTACCAATAATATGTGCTTACCTCTCAGTATGTCCAAACTTTCTTATAAATAATTGAATTGACTACAAGTCGCTAAACCGTAAATGTGCGACTAAAGTTCTTGCACTGTCTAGTTAAAAATTTAATTTGATATTGAACAGGCATTGACAACATTAAGTTTTGCCCCATGTTCCTCTACTGCGTACAATAATATAAGTATTGATTAATTTTCATACTCTTAACAGGGCTCAACATGTTCGCTGGTAGAGTCTATCCTTCGAGCTCACGGTTACAGAACCGGTTTCTTCAGTTCACCGCACCTGGTATCGGTAACGGAACGCATCCGACTGGATGGGCTACCAATCAATTCCAGTAAATTCACCACCTACTTCTGGAAGGTTTACAATCGTCTGTTGGACAGTCGAGAACATCCCAGGGATCTTCCAGCTTATTTTAATTTTCTAACAATTCTTGCCTTCGAAGTGTTCCTTCGGGAGAAGGTCGATGTGGCTATCGTGGAGGTTGGCATCGGTGGCAAGTATGACTGTACGAATGCTGTACGTGATACAAAAACCGTTGGGATAACTTCGCTTGGGTTGGAACATACGCAGTTGCTGGGTAATACAATTGAGGACATCGCTTGGCAAAAGGCTGGAATTATAAAGGATCAATCGGATGTATTTACCGTACTCCAACCGGATGGTTGTTTGGATGTGATAATGGACCAATGTCAAAAAATGGAAGCAAATCTTCATCTAGTGCCTGACTTTGATTCCTACAAATGGAAACGAAAGCCGAATCTCAATGCAAACAATTTGGCAATCAAGCTGAATACATCATTGGCCATTCAAATTGCACTCAACTGGATCAACCGGACCCGTCCGGATTTGCTGAACAAAGATGATGCCCGTCTTTCGGAGACGATCAGCCACGGTTTGGAATCATGCTTTTGGCCTGGTCGTTGTCATCAGATTCGTAAGGGAAACAAGCGAATATTTTTAGACGGTGCGCACACTATAGAAAGCATAGAAATTTGTTCCAAGTGGTTCCAAACGTGTCAACGGAAAGTAAATCCTAAGATATTGATTTTCAATGCCACTGGAGACCGGGACACAGGAATGCTACTGAGTATTCTGGCAAAGCATGCACATTTTGATAGAGTATTTTTTGCTCCTAATATAGCTTCACAATCAACGGCGAATATAGGTAAGGCTCTGTTTTAACTTAATTCGATTTAATTGAGTAATTTCCTTTCATTTCAGATGCCATCAATCTCAACTTTCCCAGTGACGAACAGATAAGACGTTGCGAAAAAAATGCCACCCATTGGCGTGAAATGATGATTCAGCGCGATCACCCCTTCACTAGTGTTGCCTCCGTTCTACCCGCTTTGGATGTCGTGCTAGAGCAGATCGATAATAATTACCTAGCGCACCAGGAATGTGATATTTTGGTAACCGGATCGCTGCATCTGATTGGAGCAGCACTGACTGCACTGAAAATGGAATCACAAGTGATCACTCCCGATTAGAAAAGAGGCTCTTTTGAATTTTCAACACCATATCCAGTGAATAAAAAACAATGTTATCAGCCGCGTACGAAAAGTTAGAGAAGCTCTTTTTACAAGTGAGAACTTTTCATCCGTGGCTGATGTGTGGATGAGGTGAGTGACATAATTATTTTTTTACTATTGTATGTTTTTATGTAGATTTGTAAAAGTGATGGAAAAGCAGGACGAATTGAGATATGCTGCACTTTGTTAAATAGTACGGAAAGAAAGTCTCTACTGCAGCCTTTTCTTTCACTAACACTGAAATCGTGTGCTGCCTTAGGGGGGGGGCGAAATGCAAATGAATGCAAAGCCGTGCATAAACTCTTGCGCGAAATTCGTTGAACAGCATACCTTGCTATGGGAAGGGAAAACGAGTGCCTTTTCATGCTTGCGCATATAATTAAAATGGCTGACGGAGAAACGACGAATGGCAAAATAATTGATGCAGGCTGGGAATTGAGGATCTGGCTGCTGTGCAATTCAGAATAAATATTGTCATTAAAATATGTGTTTCTGTCGTCGTTATTTTTTTTGTGTGCATCACTTAAGTTTGACGCTTCCGTACAAAATTCATTGTGGTAGTCTTATTTTGTGAGCCATGCACTTGAAGTGCACTGTAATAATGGGACGTCATGCTCATGATTAAAAGCATCTTTTATACAGTGTTCTTTTTGTTTTCAAATGAGCAAATGACGCACCCCATTTGAGCGAACATATCGATAATATTTTTGAATCTACCTGTTGTTCTTAACTTTTAAATGTTTGGTGTCATCATAAAATTTGGTTTCCGGAAAAAGATCTTTACTTTACACTGTCTTCTATTGCGTGCTCTCATATTAGTGTTCTGGATGTTTCGCAGTTATTAATTGAGAGCTTTCGATGCCTGTGCCATTTTTGCATTAGTAGGGTTTTTGATCTAATTTCCGTCCTACTAAGCACAACCCGCGCTTTACCTCTCTTTTCTGAACGAGCTTAAACAAAAAATGGAATATTTCTGTCAAAAATGACTTCTAAATTTATTCACCTTTCCATACGTACTGTTGGATTTGATAAAGAGTTATAAATTGTTAAGATATTGTTTAAAATCTGATACTGCTTCTTGATTCTAAATTCGTTCTACGAGTTTCAATACCGTCCAAACGCATTGAAACGCCATTAGATTTTCTTCGTCCTACGGATAAACGTAGAAAAGGGGATTCGGTAGGAGCGCTTCTTTTGTTTTGAGAACAATGAGCGTAAATATTCATACAATGCGCTCTAACAGGATTTATGTTGTAGCTAATGAACTAACGCATCGGAACAAACCTATTATTGATTTGTGCACGGTGAAATCATTGATATTATTGATCTTTTCTGATCGATAGAACGGGAATGGGCGATTACGACGAAGTAGTGCTCTACCCTATAACTTTGTGACAAGTACAATCATACACACTAATCCAGTCAGTAAGGTTTTACTGGATATTTGAATTGCGGAACTGTTTATTCCGCACTTGTACAGTTAATTACAGTTCTGTTAACCGCATTTAATGATGGAAAATAAAAAATTAGCATTTCATTGGTTTCGGTCATTTGATTTTCAACCGGCTTTTCACTAAAAAAATCTCTGTAAAATAGTCAGTGTGTACTCTATGCCCTTGGAAATGGAGAAATTTACCAACGTGTAAAATTCCTAGACCGCACCGGGGATGGAACCGAGTCACCTCCAGCATGGTCTTGCTTTGTAGATACGCCTTTAACGATTGAGCTAAGAGAGGCCCCACTGATTAGTTCACTGATTAAGGCTGACGAGGTTCAGTAAAGGTAATTAACAAGCAATTAATTATCTTTGATGTGAATTGCGAGTATTAGATAAGGGGCTGTCCGCATTCTACGTTTGAAATATTTTAGAATCCCCTCTACCTGTGTGGCACTCATCCATACTAAAGTATGTTTGACAGATGGGCTAACTGTCAAATTCACACAAATGCAAGTGCAACGTATCCATTGTGGGTGGCTCTTAGCTCTTAAAACTGTGTATGGACCGTGGATATTTGCCAACGGCATTCATAGTAATGAAGCACAATCGAGAAAAAAAAGCATACTTTTTAGTTGCACGATCTATGTCTCATCTATTCTTAAAGCTTAAACCGGGTACCTGCGACTCCCACGATATATCCACGGCAATTGTCAGCAGACGATGCCCTGTGCGTATTTAGTATGTAATAATATTATTATAAACATATTATGTTTTATTTGGATATACAAAATGTGTGAAGCCATGGGGAACCTCCGGAATGAAAGCGAACAAACTTGATGTTGCACAACAAGCCAATGTGTTTTTTTTTTTTTTTTTTTTTTTTTCAGCAAAACAACAGCATCCTCTATCTCTCTTCTTTATTCTTTTAATCTCTTACTATCCCCTGATCGGACGCTAGTGGGACCAAAAAGCCTGCTAGTGAAAGGAAAGTCGTTATGCTATACGGTCTAACATAGGCCACGACTAAATTTCCGTAGGTTCATGTCTGGCTTAAGTGCAGATCGGTAGGCAGCAGCCTGCCAGGGTGTGAACTGAGCAATAACAATAACAATAACAATAACGATCTGTGTCTCATCTATTGCTTTCCTTGTCTCCATTCCGCTCAGCTACTCGCAATTGATTGTGATATAGTGGGCGGAATATTACAATGTGAGACAATTCAATGCAGACGTCTTCCAAATTTGACCGATCGTCAGGTAATCAGTGGGTTACCACCAGGCACCTCTTAGCAAGCACTATGCTACGAAGCGGACCGGAAGTTTCAATGAACAACCTCGTTCATTGAAACTTCCGGTCCGCTTCGTAGCATAGTGCTTGCTAAGAGGTGCCAGGTGGTAACCCACTGATTACCTGACGATCAGCCAAATTTGGAAGACGTCTGCATTGAATTGTCTCACATTGTAATATTCCGCCCACTATATCACAATCAATTGCGAGTAGCTGAGCGGAATGGAGACAAGGAAAGCATTTGGTACAGGACCAAGTCTCTCCCGGCTGGCGCCAAAACAATGAAACTGGAAGCAACTGGATCAAGTTGTCATGGGGCACGAAATGATCCTGTTGCATGACTTGGAGCTGTTGCAATCGAGGAAGGAGGGGGGGGGGGGGTTGTTGCTAATGTTTAATTTGTTTTTGTATATTTTCAGGTGTTAAGGTGGTTCGCTGCCTCTGGATAGTGGGTTTGACGGTGGTTCAGCAAGAATAATATTGAGACATACGGGAATGCAACAAACGTGTCAAATTAACTGCATTGGTTACGAAAACACAGAGGAGCGTACACCTGATGTCACACACTAAGGTGATGGTAATAACACAGACAAAGTAATAAGGTCGGTGATAATATGAAATTTACACAAAAGCGGAGATCAAATCATATTGGTCAATGTACCAAAATTCGAAACTTCGATTAAAACGTGGAATCTGTGCAGCACCAGTGGAGAACACTCAAAAGCTGCAGGTCTCATCAACCGCTGCCTGCGGTATATAACTTGTGGCTGGTGGCCTCACAAATGGATCTCAGATGTAAATGTCATCAGAAGTCGATAGCAATAGAAACGAAGTCTGCAGGCAAGCATTTGATTATGAATTAAATCCGCCAGAACATCGCAGCAACGGCAAATACTAAGGCGGAGCGGAGCGTCAACAAGTAAATTAAGCAAGCCGATAGGAATTTAACTTGGGCCCAGGTCAAGCAGCTGCCCAGAATGGAAGTCTTTCACGTTGGCCCTGTGCACCTCTGGATGTTCCCAGGTATTTGAGTAAAGGGTGTCCACGATGAAATTGCCACACTATGAAATTGATCTAACTTTTTAACCGTTGGGTAGAATTTAATGAAAATTTGGGTGGATTTAGTTCATAGTGCATTATTTACATCCTGCAAGTTTTAAAGTCCTGTGATCAAAACTCGCGGAAATGGAGTCGAAAGAACAGCTCGTGCGTGATAAAATCTTGCGCATTCATCACGAGAACAAGGATTTCTCGCATCGTTCCATCGCTAAAACGTTGGGAATCGCGAATTCCACGGTGTCACGAGTGATTAAGCGGTTCGAGGAACGGTTGACCACCGATCGGAAGCCCAGAAGTGAAAGAAAAAGTATTCCGTACAACACCAAAAATCACAACCGCGTAGTTGGGGCCTTCAACCGAAATCCGAACGCCTCCGTTAGGGATGTGGTTAAGAAGCTGCACCTAAGCCGAAGTTTTGTCCAGAAGGCCAAAACTAAGGCTGGGCTTCGAACGTTCAAGGTACAAAAGGCCCCTAATCGCGACGAGAAGCAGAACAAGTCCGCCAAAACCCGTGCCAGGAAGTTGTACCTCAATATGCTGACGAAAGTTGAATGCTGCATCATGGACGACGAAACATATGTGAAGGCCGACTTCAAACAGATCCCCGGCAACCTGTTTTTCACGGCCAAGGATAAGTTCAGCGTTCCGGAGCATGTCCGCACTCAGAAGATGTCCAAATTTGCGAAGAAATTCCTGGTTTGGCAAGCCATCTGCACGTGCGGGAAGCGGAGTGCACCTTTCGTGACCCAGGACACGATGAACGGACAGGTGTACATAAAAGAGTGCCTCCAGAAGCGGCTGCTTCCTCTCCTGAAGGCCCACAACGTCCCAACAATCTTCTGGCCTGATTTAGCCTCATGCCACTACTCCAAGGACGTGCTGAAGTGGTATGCGGACAATAAGGTCAATTTCGTGCCGAAAATGTTCAACCCTCCCAACACTCCGGAGCTCCGCCCCATCGAGAAGTACTGGGCGATTATGAAGCAGCACCTTCTTAAACGACCTAAGGTAGTGAAGACAGTCGAGGAACTGAAGAAAGTATGGGTTTACATGCAAAAAACGGTTGATTCACAGGTTGTGCAGAATCTTATGGCCGGGGTGGCCAAGGTGCGGGCATTTGCGTATGGACTGTAAATAAAATACGAGTAAAATGGTAAAATGAAGTTTAATAGTTATTTCTCAATCCCTGAAAATTTGATGGCAATCGGATGAAAACTCGAACTTTGCGAATCAATTTTGTGTGTGGCAATTTCATCGTGGACACCCTTTACGACGACGATGGACGTTGCCCCTTGGAACGGAATGAACGCGAACAAGCTTGATGTTGCACAACAAGCCAACGTGTTTTTTTTTCAGCAAAACAACAGCATCCTCTATCTCTCTTCTCTATTCTTT